AATTTATCATGTGCCAGTGTATTTCAGATCTAGCTTTTGCATATAAAAGAAAACATGTGCCATTTATTTCTGACCTGGCTTACTTTACTTAACATAGTTTGTTCTAGGTCCATCCATTTCCCTTCAAATGATATAATATTCTTTCTAATGCCTGTGTAAAATTCCATTGTGTATAAGTAGCACTTTATTTTTGCCAGCCATGAGGTCTGAACTATGGGCCTGGGCACTGTCCTTCAGCTCTTGAGCTCAAGGCTAACACTCTACCACTTAAGCCACAGCGCCCCTTCTGGCTTTTTCAGCTTATGGGGTGCTGAGAAATCCAACCCAGGGCCTCATGCATGCAAAGCAAGCACTCTACCACTGAGCCACCTTCCCAGCACCAGGTACATTTTTTTGGATCCACTCTATCGTAGGAACATCTGGACTGTTTCCCTAAGTTGGCTATTGTGAACAGTGCAGCAATGAACATGGATGTAAAAGTATCTTTATGGTATCCTGGCTTGTGATGCTCTAGGTAGATGCCCAGCAGTGGTATGGCTGGGTTGTAGGGAAGATTAAGCCATGGGACCTGAATTCTGGGCTTAGGCATGGTTCCTGAGTGCTTTAACCCAAGGCTAGCATTCTTTCCTTTGAGCCACAACACCACGTTCCATTTTCTGGTGATTAATTGGAGATAAGAGTCTCAAATTTTGGTGCTTGGGCTGGCTTCCAACCTAGATCCTCAGATCTCAGCCTCCTGAATAGGTAGGATTACAGGGGTGAGCCACCAGCACCCCACCTACTTTTTGTTTTGTTTTGTGGGGTTTTTTTTTTTTTTTTTGAAGAACCTCCAGACTGCTGCCCAGAGTGGTTGTACTGTTTGCATTCCTACCAACAGTGCAATAGGGTTCCTCCAAAGGATATTTTTGGTGGAGGAACACAAAGGTGCAATGTCTATGTGCATCTGGTCAGATAATATTTATCAAATGAACTCCAGGAAATGGAAAAAAAGAGGTTGTTTTTTTCTTTGCTGCTGTTTTTGTTTTCTTTTTGTTCATGAATCTGTCTTTGGGAGGTAAGGGGAGTACAGAAATGAAAGGGCAGAGGGTGAACAAATGCAGCAGTGGTACTCACTTGAAAATGTGTGTAAGACTTGTGCGGGGGATGGGAGGGAAAAAGAGAGAAATGAATACTCTTTATCTGACTTATGTAACTGTCACCCCTCTGTACATCACCTTTATAATAATTTATTTTAAAAAAAGAAGAACTTGAAAATTTTTTTCCCGGTCCTATTCCTCACCGCGCTGCCAGCAAGTGACCTATTCCAGTCCCTCTGTCTTTGCCCTCCATTCTCCTTCTCCTGCCTTCCTTCTCGTCCGGGAAAGTCACAGAAGTTCGCTGCCCATTGGACAGATGGGGAAATTGAGAATCGGTGAGGGCAAGAATCTTACCAAAGCTGTTACACGCTCGCTGGGCGCCGGGATCTCCTAGGCCGGGGCACGGCCCCGCCGCGGCCCAGCCTGGCGCCCCCGGCCGCCCCCGGCCCCGGGCTCCGCCCCCACGCGCGAGTCCCGGGGTTCCGAAGGGGTCTGAACTCTGCGGCTCGCCACGCCCGCGGCCCTGGGACCCGCAAAGCCTTGCAGGGAGTCGTGGAGGATGCGCAGGAAGGGGCCGATCTTGTGCTCGGCCCCGCGTCGCGCTGATCCCTTGAGGGTGACACAATGTGACCCCCAAACCCAGGCGCCGCAAACTCACCTGCAGCAGCTGCTCCGCTCGCAAACTCACTTCCTGCTTCCGGCTCCCCCATTCATTGGGGCTTCCCAAACCCCGCCCTCATTGGCCAATTGTCTGGTTCCCGGGCCCAGACGGACAGCGGCTTCAGCCAATAGGCGGGAAGAAACAAGCACCCTGCCTCCCGGGCACTACGCGAATCGCTCGGCTTGGCCCCTGCGGCCTTGGCCTTTTGTGCGCCGGCCACGCTCGCGTGGGGGTGGGGACCCTGGGTGACCGGCTCGTCGGCGGCCTGGCCCAGGTCAACGCGGCTGACAAGATCCCAGAGCACCAAGGTCCCTGTGCAGGAGAGACTCCTAGAGTCCCCCGACCTGCTTTACTCGACCTGGTGGGCTGGCGGTGGGGGTGGGAGGAAGGGCGTCTGGAGTGGAGGCCCCTCAGAGACTACAGAGTTGTAGGTGCGAGGAATCAATGCTACTGCAGTGATCGAAGGTCAAATCAAGCTTTTTTCATCCCCGGATGTGTGACCTTTTGTGTGTGTGTGCACATGTGTGTGCCAGTACTGGGGCTTGAACTCAGGGCCTGGAAGCTGTACCTTAGCTTTTTCTGCTCAAGGCTAGTACCACCCTACCACTTGAAACAGATCTTCACTTCCAACTTTTTGCTGTTAATTAGAGATCAGTCTTTCGGATTAATCTCCCAGGCTAGCTTCAAACCCCAATCCTCAGATCTCCGTTTCCTGAGTAGGATTACAGGTGTGAGCCACTGGTGTCCTGCTAGCTGTGACCTTAAGTGGGTCACTTTAGCTCATAGATCTTGGCTTCATCAGCCGGAAAACTGGATTAATAAGTGAATCCATTCCAGGAATATCCTAGGCACCAGTGACTGCCAGCTGGTCAGTGCTGTGTGTGCGCAGAGGCAGTGTTTGAAGTCCAGCATGCTGTCCTTGTCTTGCCTGTGTCTAGGCTCAGGGCAGTCATTGTCCACCACAGACATGTTTCTCATTCACAAAAGTTCCCAAAGCTCTTCACACTAGTACTATTAGTTGTGGGTTCCTTATATACAGGAGATCAATTAAGGGGTTTATGTCCTTTCTTGTGTTTTGTCAGGTGAATTGGAAATGTACTCTTTAAGAGGAGGTAATAGCTGTCTATGACCACCAGGGGGCAGCTGGAGTGGGCAAAGGATCCAGTATTCAGGCCTTGGGATTCAACTTTTTTTTTCTTTTTTCTTCCTTTTGTTGTTATTGTTTAGTTTGGTTTAGTTTTTGTACTGGTGATGGAACCTAGGACACTTTACTTGATAGGAAACTGCTTTCTTTCTTTTTCTTTTTTTTGGCGGTCATGAGGCCTATACTCTAGGTCTGGGTGCTGTCCCTCAGCTCTTCAGCTCAAGGCTAGAGCTCTACCACTTGAACCACACCACCACTTCCGGCTTTTTCTGCTTATGTGGTGCTAAGGAATCGAACTCAGGGCCTCGTGCATGCGAGGCAAGCACTCTATCACTGAGCCACCTAGGCAACTTTCTATATTCTAGTCCTGCCTAATTTCATTTTATGATGGTCAACAGCATTTACTTTAGTCCTATACCAGAGCTGGCCTTGGGGGGACTCCCTTAATTCATGCAAAGCCTTTGATAGAGCTTAACATTTAACCCATTGCACAGATGGGAAAACTAAGAGTGTCCATTATTTCCATTAGAACACACATGTCTTCAGGAATCTGTAAGCTGGGGCCTAGCCTTATTCAGAACTCAACCCCCCACCACACACACACACACACACACACACACACACACACACACACACACACACACACACACACACACACACACACACACACACACACACACAGTCGTCTAATTGGGATCATGGCTGTCACCTACCTGGGTTTTCCCCAGAAGTATAAGAGCCAGGCGAGGAAATAATATTAAGTACTTTTTCACAGATGCTTTCCATACATTCACAAGCACTTGGCGAGGCAGAGGTCATTGCATTTAATTACCATAGGATCCCAGGTTCAAAGATCTGGCAAAGAGCAGAGTTGGGGCAAGGACGGGAGTGCCTGGCTTCTAACAGCCCTGAATTTCCCCAAGCACCCACAGACATGTCTTTTGCTTGTCTCTCCTAGAGCCAGAAATTTCCCACTAGAAATGGGACCAGAATGTTCTACTGCTTGGCTCCCAACACTGTCAGAAGTAAAAACAGGGGAGACATCTATTTCTAGGGTTTGGGAGTAGAGTGGGAAATCCTTCCACCCCCACTCAGAAGTCCTCATTTACCCTCCATCCCACTGCAACTGGGTGACACTCCAGAAGCATCCCTCCTGTTCACACGTGTGGGTGCCCTCTGGCCGTCACTAGCTGCGTGGCCTTAGGCAGGCCCCTCCCAATGGAATCTACACTCCTCCTCATGTTCTGTCAGGAACCCAGGGCAATGCCCACGTCATGCTTGTTACTCCTTGCTTTTTTTTTTTTTTTGGTCAGTCATGGGGCTTGAACTCTGGGCCTGGGCGGTGTCCCTCAACTTTTCAGCTCAAGGCTAGCACTCTACCACTTGAGCCACAGAGCCACTTCTGGTTTTCTGGTGGTTTATTGGAGATACGAGTCTCATGGTCTTTCCTGCCTAGGCTGGCTTTGAACTGCAATCCTCAGATCTCAGCCTCCTGAGTAGCTAGGATTACAGGCATGAGCCACCCGTACCTGGATAGCCTTCTCTTTTCTTACCTCCAGAATGCCAGCCGCTTGTGTTCCTGGGTCAGTTTGCCTAGGAGTGATTAGAGGAGTTCCAGCAATACCCTCAGCTTGGCCCTTGGCTCCCAGAAAAAATACATAGCATGGGTGAATAGGGGTCCACTCAGACTTGACCTCCATGGCTGCTGAGGCCCACAAGGCCCTAGTCCAACTCTCTCCAGCTCCCACTTTTCTGTTTCCCCTGCACACTAAGCTCACTGGGTGGTCAGCTGCTGATAGCTGGATAGATCTCTCCTCAGGAAGCTGGAGAGGCAGGACTGAGCTCATTGCTAGAGCATTATGTGGGGCTGGGCACTGAGCAAGGGGACAGGCTGACTACTCTCTCCCGTTAGCCTTGCCCAGCAAAGGAAATGCAGTGATGGGAATGGGGCAGTGTTGGGTTTCAATTCTGACCTGGTCACTTCCTAGCTGTGTGACTTAGGGCAAATGATTTTGTCTTTCTGTGAAAACAAGCAGTGATGCCTCCCTCCCAGGGACACAAGAAGACTTAACAGCCAAACCTCCAAGAAGCAGAGCCTGGCGCCTGGTGAGTGCTCAATGAACCAAGCTGTTATTACTGTCAGCACAGAGCGGGGCACACGGCGGGCGGGTGTTCAGTAGTGGTAGCCCTTGGGTCAGAACCAGGGCTCTGAAGCAGCGAATCTTCTCGCTCCCTGCTCCCAGCCACTTTGTGGACTCCTGGCTGTCCACAAATTAAGAGTCCAGACACCCTATCCAGCATCTTCTCACCAGTCTCTTGTGTACCCCCTGCAGCCTGTCACTCAGACCCTCCTCCTTCCTTTCCCCTCAGCCTGCGACCCACAGTAGGCAGAGCATACACCGTTTCCCGTGGGCCTGGTAGACTGAGAACCACCACAGAGGCTCGGTTCCTGTGCCACTTCCTCCCTGAAGCCTTCCATGCTTTCCCAAGGCCAACAAAGCCTATTCCCCAACCCAAGGATTCGCCCATCCGAATGCACCCAACTGTCCATCCTCCACTGAACCTCGAACTCCATTTCGCTCAGTCCCAGCCTGCCCACACCCACTCCCCAATCAGGGCTGGAAGCTCTGAACGCATTGGGGGAGGGAGGGCGGGGAATGTGTGGGTTTGGAAGGGCAGCTGAGCAGCGAGGTTTCTAAGGGAACCCAGGGCAGCCGCGAGAAGGGTGAGTATCTGTTACCGGGTTGGCAGGCTGGGGAGCCCAACCAGCAGAAGCTGGGGGTCAGGGGCCATAGTCCCTTCACTGCCCTGGCAGGGGCACAGTGTAACCGGCATGATGGGGGAGACCCCAGGAAGGGTACGGCAGGGGCCTGAGCTTCCCTCCATCGCCTGGGGGCACAGCTGGTACCGCAGATTCCCTTCAGGATGACTGGGAAGATTTCCGGAACCCCCTTGGGGAGGGGGGCCCCCACCCATCCAGTGTGTCCAGCTGGTGTGGCCAGGCGCCAGCAGGCAGAGTTCCACATGCAGAGCTCCCTGTGAGCTGCAGGGGGGCGGGGGCTGGAGCAGGTGGGCACAGCCGGGAGGGCCCTGGAGAGCCTAGTCCAGAGGCCCCTGGAAAATGAGGCGGACGCAGCCATGTTCACCGGTGAGCCAGGCCCCGCAAAAGGGGCAGGCCGCGTGGAAGGCGTGCGTGCCGTGCGGCAGTGGTGTCTGGGCCCAGTAGCGGGCAGTCTTCTCAGAGCAGACATGGCCGCAGGGCGCGAAAGCATGACTGGGGGGCCCCGGGTCCAGGCACAGCCCAGCCTCCTGGCCTAGCCACAGGGGTACATAGGGACCCACGAGTCGGCAGAGAGGACATTCACGCTCCTGGGGCCCCCGCTCCCGTCGACAGCCCCAGCCGTGGTAGCCGTGGACGTGGCCGCAGCGGACGTAGACCCAGGGCTGCTGCTTGTCAGGGGCTGTGCGGCCCCGGGCTGGACTGGGGAAGGCCAGGGTGCTGAGGCCCACGGGACACTGGGGCCGCGCTGCGTTGGCCTCCTGCCGCTGGGCCTCCAGCTGTTTCAGCGTGGGCGCCCGCAGCAAGCCTGCCGGAGTGCGCCACAGCAGCGTGGCCCCACACAGGTCAATGAGGGAGCCGTCTTGCAACACATTGGATTCATTTTCCACCTGCCAGAGACAGCAGAAAGCCTTAGTCCAAGATGTCCCCGCCCAGCCATCGGGCTGCAGCCCCCTGGAGCCCCTGCAGAGGACGCCTGGGCCGGCAGGGCAGCTGAGAGGGCAGACAGCCCGCTCCACCCACCCCTCTTCCCCAGCTCTCAGCAGGACTTGGGTTTGGTGTACCGGGGAAACAAATCTGGTTCTATCAATCTGGACATCCGGACATTTTCTAAAGTGCTTTCCAGAGGTCTCCAATAATGGTGAAGGCCAGAAAAATGCTGGATACGTAGCCCAGAGCAAAGATCGTGGGGATTGTGATGAACAGACCACCTAGGTTTGAACTGGGGCTCACTAACTCTGCATCCCTGGGAGAGTCACTTAACCTCTCTATGTGTTTAGTTTCTATTTCAAGCTGAATTCCACATTTCAGTATCTCAAACGAGTCTTGTGAGGCAGTAGGTATAAATAATTCAAAGGGCGCCTAGCACAGTAGGTGCTCAACAAGCATGTGTTTGTGACACATTCATGTACAGAGATTTGTTGTTGTTCGTTGAGATATGGTCTCATTATATAACCAGGTTGACATCCAACTCACAGTCCTCCTGCTTCTGGCTCCCAAGTGCTGGGATTATAGGTATGCCCTACTATACCCAGTTGAGGTACATAATTTTGTTTCTGGACTTTCCATGGTTCTGAGGATCAAACCCTTTGTTTCTGGACTTTCCATGGTTCTGAGGATCAAACCCAGAACCTACCACATTCTAGGTGCAGATTTTTTTTTTTGGTTGGTCATGGGGCCTGAATTCTGGGCCTGGGCGCTGTCCCTCAGCTCTTCAGCTCAAGGCTAGTGCTCTACCACTTGAGCCATAGAGCCACTTCCAGCTTTTTCTGTGTATGTGGCACTGAGGAATCGAACCCAGGGCCTCATGCATGCGAGGCGAGCACTCTACCATTGAACCACCTTCCCAGCCCATCTAAGTGTAGATTTTTTACCTCTGAGCTACATGTGTAATTTTCAAAACCAATAGTTAACACTGGAAAGCTCTGCTTTCCCCTGAGCTTTTGTGTCTCCCAGGCTCACATACCTCAGGGACAGAAGGGTCCAGGAAAGGAACAAGGCCACAAACCCTTCCTTTCTCTAGATCTCACTCTCAACTTGACCTGAGTACTCTAATCTGTACCACATGGTACAGATTACAGGCCACTGGCCACAGGCCAGCACTGTAAGTACTAATCTAAGGGCCTTTTCCTGTTGGAATAGGATAATAAAGCTGAACTCACCTAAACGTGACAGACATGCTACAAGCTGCCAACACTGTGGACTGTGAGCTGCTTCCACATAGGCCAAGTGTCACTCTCATAATCGAGTGTGGCTGTCAGCAGCTGTAAAGCCACTTGTGCTGCACAGCGCCTCGTGTGACTCCATCTTACATCACCTCACAGAACTCAGGAAGTGTGCAAACCAGGTGCCGGTAGCTCACGCCTGTAATCCTAGCTACTCAGGAGGCTGACATCTGAGGATCATGATTCAAAACCAGCCCAGGCAGGAATGTCAGTGAGACTCTCATCTCCAATAAACCACTAGAAAACCGGAAGTGGCGCTGTGGCTCAAGCGGTAGAGCACTAGCCTTGAGCTGAAGAGCGCAGGGACAGCGCCCAAGCACAAAGTTCAAGCCCCACGACCAACCAAAAAAAAAAAAAAAAAGTGTGCAGGCCACAACCTGAGTGGACTGGGCTGCTCTGTAGGGCAAGTACCGAGAGTTCTGTGAGCCTGCAGCTCTCCCAGCCAGAGCCCATGGGGACTACCTGGGACACAAGGACTGCACGTCACCTATCTCCAGGCAGATTATGAGGAGGACCTGGAAGGACTGGGGAAAAGATGGAGAGGGCCACCTACCAGCTTCCCCCGCTGCTGGGCCGAGCGGCTGTCCCGCAGTGTGTACACGTTCCCGCAGACTGATATCTCCCGCCAGACACCTGGGGCCGAGTCCTCGGAGAAGCCGCCCGCAGGGTGCATCACCAGGACCCCATTGGTGGTCAGGCCATCCATCAGGCCATCGGGGGTCCGCCATTTGGCTGCCCGCTCCTGGGACCACATTGAAGATCAGCTCACATTTCCCCAAGGGGCGCGGAGGTGGCTGCCCCCACTCTACCTTTATGTCCCAGAGAGGACTCCATACACATGACCTCTCTGAACATCCCTTGGCTTATTCATGATGTGGGCTGCTAAGGCCCTGTGTGGCTGGGGACCGGCCCATCACTCCAGGCTGCTGCCTTCCCAAACCCTCCCCACTTTCCAGTAGAGAGCTCGACTCTGCCTGGGGTACACTCACTCCAAGGAAGATGTTGCTGGAGGCGTCAAAGCCGGCAGCATAGATGCGGGCCGTGTAGGGTGGCCTGCGGTCACAGAGGATGCGACAGGCATAACGGGAAATGGTGCTCTGGGCAGAAGGGCCCTCGGTGGCCCCTCCTCCCGGGGAGGTGTCTGTTACCACGAAGTCGATCATGTTCTCAGTGGAGCGGCCAATCTGCAAGCGAGGGGAGGGCAGGCACAGCGATCACATGGGCAAGGCTCAGGACCCCAAACAAGGAGGCAGCAGGGTCCACAGAGAGGCAGCACACAGTGACTCTCCAGACCTTCTGGGCCCCAAGAAGCCACTCGAGGTGCAATTAGCCACCATCTAGAGTGGCTCTTGCTCTATTGCTCCCAAAGCTCTGGGAAGACTCTCACTCAGTTCAAAAACAAAAACGGATCAATTCACTGATAGACCAATGGAAAACTGATATCCCAGGAATCCTAGCAGCAAACTGTAAGCATTTAATAAGGATTTACTAGATGTGTAGCTGTTTAGCAGTACAGCAAATACCAAAGTCCTGAGTTCGGATCCCAGTGCCCCCTCCCCTTACTGAAGCTGCTATAATAGACTAAGCATTTTATGTGTCCACCCATGGGGTGGTTGCCATTATGGGTCCTATTTTACAAATGAGGAAATAAAGGCCCACAGAGATTAAGTCTTGCACAAAGTAAATGACAGAGCTGGCATGCCAATGCTTACACTGCCCTCTGAACTCTGAAGCCACATGGCTTTCTGCGGCGTCTTGCCTCTCTGTCTTGATACCACTACAATTTACTGTGTCAGCGACCCACGCGGGGACACGCTGCTTCCTCGTTGGAAGGGTGGGCTGCTGTGCTGAGTGAGCTGAAACACTTAGAGGCTCAGAGGCCCGGAGCTGGGGGGGCTGGGCGTACCTGGAACATGTCTGTGTCGCTGTCGTGGGTGTACTCCACTATGACCGAGTGGCTCCGGGACAGTGTGTATGAGATGCTGTGCTGGCCTCGGTTACTCAAGGCCTGGTGAGGAGAAAGTAGTCACTGGCCAGGGCACCCCGGACATGAGAGCTAAGTTTCTGAGGGAAGACAAGCTCGGGGCCCAGTGGGGCTCCTCCCGGGGAGGGCTAACAGCATTTTGTGCAGGGGGATTCTAAGTACAGCAGGAACTCTATACAGGTTACTCTACACAGTCCTCCCCCCAGAATGGGCTCATTGGTCTCATTTGAAAGTGGGGTGCTGTGTGCTCCAGGAAGCTAATTTCTACCCCAAATTTTCTAAAGCCAACGTTTCACCCTTTGCCACTGCTGTGTGACATCACATCCTGCAAAAGGTCAAGGGTCACCATTGCTCTGGTAGCCCCATAGGCAAAGAGTAGTGACACAGTGGGCTGGGATGGGGGGCAGGGGGCATGCGCATGTGGGTCTGGCAAGACCGAAGACCCGGGCCAAGGGCACAGAGGGCAGAACGGTGCTCGGTTCTCAGTCTACTGGCATAAGCTGCTTGCCTTGGAGACGAGCGGTGTGGAAATGTGGTGCATGACGTCTGGCTTCACTCCGTTGGCATGTGGCCTGCGGCTCAGTGCCAGGCGGCTCCGCCGGCGGCCCTTGTCCCCGCTTGCCAGACACCCATTGTAGCTGTTAATGTTAAAGGGGTTAAGAAGAGCAGGGTATGGGAAGAGGAGGAGAGAGAGAATGAAAAGTGAGTGACTGGGGAGCATTAGAGAACACTGTCAACTCTAGCTTGCTAAGCAAGCTCAAGAATCACGGAAAGCTAGAAGACCCCATGATAGTCAACTGGTGCATGAACAGGGGGTCTCATTAAACTATCATCATGAGTCCCTGGATGGCTGCGCTATGTCTGGGGAAGGTGCTGGGCTGGTAGCACTGATGTATCATGAGTTCATGAAGCGAGGATCGGTTCTCAAGGAATTCAGGCACACCTGCCTTGACTCAGACACAAGCCAAGTGCACCCCAACCCTCTGGGCAAGAGAAGAGAATCATGATCCCAAGATTGGGTTTCGGAGAAGGGGAACCCCTCGTAGGGGTTGAAGAACTGGGGAGTCCCCTGCAGCAAACCAGCACTTATGATACCACTTCTCAAAAACACATGAAGAAAAACCACAGACCCTCAAGGTCACTACGTCCAAATCTCCACTCACTTCACATGCCCACCCTCCTTTCCAGCTCACATCCAGTGGGAAGGACCCTGAGAAGAAAAGATGGGGTGAGTCACAGCAGCCACCACTGCCTCTGTGTCCCTGGTCCCCTGAGGCGTCTGTGTGGTGTCCTGCCAGGCAATGGTCTTTCTTCCCATTTTATAAGCGAGACACATTGAGGTTCGGGGAGGTAAAGTCACTTGCCTTGGGGTCAGTAAGTGACAAAGTCCAGATATGCATTCAGATCTGCCTGACCCCAGACTTGGCAAAAGCCCTTCAAAATGGAATAGTATTCACCCTGAGCCAAAGCTTCCAGCGCTTTGTGAGCTCAGGGCAGTAAAGCACAATAGGGGAAGATGACCACCAGGCAAAAACCATTCTGCCTGTAAGCAATGGGGAGTCATGGACGGTTTCAGAGCAGAAAGTGATGGGATAAGCGCTGTCAAGTACAGACAAGGAGCCAAGTGTCCATGGCTCATACTTTTAATCCTAGCTTCTCAGGAGGTTGAGATCTGAGCAGGAAAGTCTATGCAACTCTTTATCTCCAATTAACCATCAAAAAACTAGAGGTGGAGGTATGGCTCCAAGTGGTAAAGCACCAACCTGAAGTGAAAAAGATAAGGGACAGCGCCTAGGCCCTGAGTTCAAGACATACACACACACACACACACACACACACACACACACACACACACGTGCCATTTCACTCAGATTGACTCACTCCAGTGAGTGTGTTAAAATCCAAATTCACCAGCCCCACCAGATTCTGATTCTGAAGGTTTGAGGCACCTGTCAAGATGTGTTTTCAATATACTCTCCAATAGTTCTGGTGCACAGCCTGACATGGAACCTCCCTGCCCAGGGGAGAATAGAGAGCTGTCAAGAGGGCCCATCCTCTTACGTCAAAAGTCTCCCCCATCAGAAGTCTTTCCCTGGGCTGGAAAGCAAGCCTTTCCTTCATGATAATAAACAGCAGCTTTTCCAATGCAGACACCCCTGTGTGAGACATCTGTTGCCCTTCTCCTGCATAAGGAAGGAAAGGAGTCAGAGGGCTCATCAGGACCCAAGTTAAGGACTCAGATGGGCCTAAACTTAAATCCTTAATCTGTACCTGGGCACTGGTAGTTCAGGCCTGTAATCCTACCTACTCAGGAGTCTGAGATCTGAGGATCTCAGTTTGAAGACAGCCTGGGCAGAAAAGTCCATGAGACTCTAATCTCCATTGAACCAGCAAAAAGCCAGAAGTGGAGGTATGACTCAAGTGGTAGAGTGACAGCCTTGAACAGAAAAATCTAAACAAAAGCACAAGCCCCTGAATTCAAGGACCAGTACCAGCTTGCTTGCTCGCTTGCGTGTGCTCTCTCTCTCTCTCTCTCTCTCTCTCTCTCTCTCTCTCTCTCACACACACACACACACACACACACACACACACACACACAAATGCTCTTCTACTCACCCCATGACTTCCATAAAATGAGGCTCATTTTTCAGGACTTACTTTGCAGGTTGATTTTTTTTTTGACCTGCAGGTCTTTATTCTAGAACATGAAGGGCCATGTTGTAAATGCAGGTTGATTTTTGAGAACAAAAGTGTTTGTTTGGCATTGTGGTATAGTTACAGCAAGTTCTTGATAAGTATATCTTACCTTTATTTTTTAAAAAGCATATGTCATAGCCAGGTGCTGGTGGCTCACACCTGTAATCCTGTAGTCCTAGCTACTCAAAAGGCTGAGATCTGAGAATTGAGGTGCAAAGCCAGCCTGGGAAGAAAAGTCCATGACATTCTTATCTCCAATAAACTACTCAGAAAAAGCCAGAAGTGGTGCTGTGACTCAAATGGTAGAGCACTAGCCTTGAGCACAAAGAGGCTCAGGAGTAGTGCCCAGGCCCTGAGTTCAAGCCCCAGGACTGGCAAAAGAAGAAAAAAAAAATCACATGTCATGTATAGATCAACAAATGGTAGCTGTTGTTATGCTTAATCATTATCATCATGAAACTACAACTTCTCAAGCAGTTTCTTCAGGACTGATGGCCAAAAGGAGACTCTGATGGGAGAGGAAGAGAAGGAATGTGTGTCTGGGGAAAGAGCTGCATGGAAGGTCCATGGATCCTGATCAGGCAAAGATTAAGAAGAAATGAGGTCTTTGCAGTCATCAAGTCATATTCTTCTTCCCTAGACTCAGTTTTGTCATTTGTACTGTGAAGGAGAGCTATGGTTGTGTGACAGCATACCAGATCTAGAGTAAGAAAACTTGGGTCCAAATCCCAGCCCTGCCACTTACCAGCTGTGTGCCCTTGGACCAGGCACTTCCCCTCTCTGAGCCTCGGTTTCCTCACCTCCTTCCTCACAGCATCTTTGTGAAGATTGAAATGAAATAATGTCCATGAAAGGGCTTGGCACAGGCTTGCCTCCCAGAACACTTGGCACGTGCTGGGTGCTGTGCTGTTCTTTACATAATAAAAATTCCTTCCTTCCTTCCTTCCTTCCTTCCTTCCTTCCTTCCTTCCTTCCTTTGTCCTTACAACCCTTCAAGGTAGGGATTTTTGTTATCACTGCTTACAAAATGGGGAAACTGAGGCACGGGGAAGTTCAGCAACTTGCAGAGGCAGGAATGGAACTAAGCAGTTTTGGTAGAACCTCAATTTTTCACCCTATACTACACACGCCCTCAGTGCTTTGCAGACTGCAGCTGGTGGTACTATGTTCTTTTGAGACCAGAAACTTGGGTAGACAGAGTTGTCTCAGGGATTTATGAAAAAATAATTACACATGGTGGAGGGTTTGGTCAGCTTTGTCTTTCATCTGAGAATCAAATAGCAAAAGACCCTCTGGGGAGCTAGGGCCCTTCCTTATTCTGGCTGCCCCAAGGAGGTGCCTAGAACGGACCCACCCCTCCCGGAGCAGGTTAGGCTCACCCTAGGACGATGAGTTCGCCATATTTGATGGGCTCCTCGCCTGGCTGTGCATCTTCACCAGGAGAAGAGAGAAGGCAAGAGCCACTGTTCTCAGGGTGCTGGAGGTCTGAGGTTCGGGAAGACCCCACTTCAGGATTTCCTTCAAGCACCATTCTGGGCAGAGCAGGAGAGGGGAAAAAGAGCTTACGGCTTCCCACCCCAGTTCCCCTCAATCCCCAGTCTTGGCTCCTAAATGGCCACTTGGGTTAAGGTGATGGTGACCTTTCACCATCCACCTCTACCTGTCCTGGGCTTCCTGGGACACCACAAAGGGGAGAAGGGTGGGATGGAATAAAAAGAAGGGGTGGCAGTCAGAGGGGCAAACTATTGGGTGGGATCAGAGAGATGGAACAATTTGGGGAGGTCAGAGAGTGTTTTGTGCCCAAGATCCCAGCCTTGAACGTACTTTGAAGACTGGCAACCGAGGAGGTGAGGGCCCTTACCTCTCATTCAGAGTTCCTGGCTCCAGATCTAAGCCCCAGGACCCGAGTTACCCTCTGTCAGGCTCTTGGGATCTGTAAACCATCCTCATTCGTCCTGTCTCTCTGCAGGTCTAGCCCTCGGTCTGTCTCGTCTATTTCTCAATGACTCTCTGTCCTCCCAGCTCCGTCCTTCTCTCTTCCCACTCTCCACCCCCTCTCCGCCTGCCTGCCTGCCTTCCTCTCACCATCCATCTGACTCAGTCTCCCCATCTCGGCCGCGCACTGCAGGCAGGCCTCCGGATCCCTCCTGGGTGCGCGCCCGCCCCTCCGGCCCCCCCCCGCCCCCCGTGTCGGCCGGGGTCCGCAGCCGCGGGCGTCCGGAGGCCTGTGGGGGCGGCGCTCCCCGCGCTCCGGCCGCAGCGGCGCGCGTCTCCCGCAGGCAGCCTGTTTGGAAAACATCCCCACGCCGGAGGGGCTGCGCCGGGGCAGGCCCGCGTCCCCGGGCACCGCACACGCAGATACACACTGGGCGCCCCCCCCCCCCCCCGCGATGCCAGCACCCGCACGGAGCCCACCCCGGACCCGCCACCGCAGACGCGCAGACAACCGCCGGCCCACTCCCCCTCCCCCGCCGCCCCCAGACACGCAAACACGCCCCCCGCGCCCGCCGGGGCCCGCCCGCCGCAGCCCCCGCCCCCTACGCCCCGGCGGCCTCACCTGGCTGCGCCCCGGGCCCCACTCGGCGCTGCTCTCCCCGCCTCACCCCTGCTCTGCCTCCGGGCTGCTGCGGCGGGATGGGCCGGACCCGCGGTGGCTCCGCGCTGCCTCGTCACGGGGACACCCGAGGCCGAGGGGGAGGGGAGGAGCCAAGACAGCACCGCCCCTAGCCCATGCCCCGCCCCTCTAGTTCCGCCCCCAACCAGAGCTCCGCCTCACCAAGGCTCCGCCCTCTGCGGTTTAGCCTCGCCCCTCGTTGGTCGAGCCAGCGTTATTGGGAAACCACGCCCCTTCCAGGGCACCGCCCCATAATACGGGAAGTCCCGCCCACCTCTCCCTCGGAGGGACACCCTCGCTCCGCCCATCTAGTTGAGTGACTTCCCCTAATCTACAAAGCCCCGCCCTCATCCTGGGCTCCACTTCCCCGGGCCGGGTTGCCAGGGACTCAGGGGATGGACGCCTCGTCACCTCCTCCTCATAGGCCTGGATTGGGGGGAGGGGGGACACTTTTCCCAGCCTTAGGTCTGGGGACTCCTTGCCTCACCGCTACAAAACCCTGCCTCCCATATGGGAAGCCGTGAGATTTGAGAAGAGGAGCTAGGAGAGAGTTTGGAAAGTACTGGAGGAGGGAAGCAGGGAGGTGTGCGGGAGGCCGCCCCGCCCCGGAGGCCGAGGGCACCTGCTGCTCTGTCCCGGTCGCCGCTCAGTCTTCAGCCCAGCGGGGCCACTCTCTCTCGCTGGGCGAGCCTGTGCCAGCTCTGGACCCGAGCGTCCAGACAGCCATGTCCCCTGCCCCTTGGGCAGCAAGCAACCCACCGATTGTACTAATACCCCGGAGCATATTGCTTGAACCCTGGGCCTAGGCGCTGTCCCTGAGCTCATCAGCTCAAGGATAGCGCTCTACCACTTGAGCCACAGTACCACTTCCAGCTTTTTCGGTTTATGTGGTACTGAGGAATCAAACCCAGGGCCTCATGCGTGCGAGGCAAGCACTGTACCTCTGAGCCACCTTCCCAACCCCAAAACAGAGATCTTACAAAACACTGTAAAGAAAAGCTTTGGAAGGTAATTAAGAGGGGTGGTGAGTGATTTCCTTTAGATAAGAATTTGGGAAGTAAGAATTGTCTTAAATATTTGTTCTGAAATGGAAAAAGGAAGAAATTAAGACTAACCACCAAATGTTGGAATAAGTAGCAGATGGTAGAGTATGTCTTAAGTTTTATAAGATAGAACTTAAGAAATAATAGTAAAGCTGGTACGTAACTAATTGGTTGTGGTTTTAAAAACTGAGCTAAAGATTTTTGCAAGACAAGCGCTCTACCACTGAGCCACCTCCCCAGCCCCTGAGCTAAAGATTTTTCCTAAGGTTAGCCAGGGCCAGTGGCTCATGCCTGTAATCCTAGCTACTAAGGAGGCTGAGATCTGAGGATCGCCATTCAAATCCAGCCTGGGCAGGAAAGTCTGAGACTCTTACCTCCAAAAAAACCACTAGAAAACCGCTGTAGCTCAGTGGTAGAGCACTAGTCTTGAGCTGAATAGCTGAGGGACAGCACCCAGGCCCAGAGTTCAAGCCCCACCACCTACAAAAAAAAAAAAAAAGATTTTTCCTAAGGTCAAAATTAAAGCAAAGTTGTGACTAAGCCAGAATTCATTTAAGTGTTTATGTCAAGAAGCCTCCTTGGATATGAAGATGAAAAGGACACGAAGGTCGCCTATGTTTTTTTGTGCCTCGTTATAATTAAAAAAGCTTGGTGACATCTCCAATGGTTTCAGTCTTTTTGTTTGTTTGTTTGTTTTTGGTCGGTCATGGGGCTTGAACTCTGGGCCTGGGCGCTGTCCCTCAGCTCTTCAGCTCAAGGCGAGCGCTCTACCACTTGAGCTACAGCGCCACTTCCGGTTTTCTGGTGGTTTATTGGAGATAGGAGTCTCACAGTCTCTCCTGCTGGTGGTTTATTGGAGATAGGAGTCTCACAGTCTCTCCTGCCTGGGCTGGCTTTGAACCTCGATCCTCAGATCTCAGCCTCCTGAGTAGCTAGTATTACAGGCGTGAGCCACCAGCGCCCGGCTTGGTTTCAGTCTTAATTAGTATCCTGAAGTACTATATGCAATAAAAATAACTGGAGAGCTTAATCAGTTGCTGTTTTAAAAAACTTTAATAATGACTACTGTTGTCTTTTGTCATTACAGATTTGATCCTCTGCAGCATTTTTACAGTCAGACCCACAGAGGGATAAACAAAAATAAATAATACTTGTAAGTATTGGTCAAACTTAACTTTGATTCTTAATAAGTTCCAGTCATCAGACAGGCAGGTGGAAGAAGAAATTCTGTATGAAGAATTCAACAACATGCTGCTTTAAATAAAGAAACAGGGGGATGTGTTGGGTGCCAAAGACTTGAGTTCCTTGAGCAACAGTTCAGAACCATGTCAGCTCTGCCCAGATGACATGAAGCGGCAACAGTCAATAGGTCCCAAGGCTTATTTTCTTAGCCTTGGAGCTGGAACCTTGGGTTTGGATGGCTTTACCCATAAGCCATTTTTCCTGTCAGTTGCCAAACTGCCAACATTTGCTCAGAGCTATGTGTCATGTACAACACACTTTCTCTTTGACTTTTCTTTGTGCAAGTGCCTGTATAAACGTATTGAACTATGGTATGTACTGCTTCTGTCTCCCAGACCCCTACCCCTGGGTGATGAAAATCCACCTGCTCCCAGCTTTCTGTAAGGTGTGTGTGTGTATGTGTGTGTGTGTGTGTGTGTGTGTGTTCCTTGATCTCCTACTGTCTTTCTTCAGATTTTTTTTTTTTGCCAGTCCTGAGGCTTGAACTCAGGCCTGGGCACTGTCCCTGAGTTTCTTTTGCTCAAGGTTAGCCCTCTACCTCTTGAGCCATGGCACCACTTCCAGCCCTTTCTGTTTATGTGCTACTGAGGACTCTGAGGCTTCTAAATCCAGAGCTTTGTCTCAAGAACTCTAGGCCTCAGTTTCCTTATTTGTGAAATGGGAATACCAATGGTTCCCTACCTGTAATGGTATAATAACATACAGTATTATTCAGAAACCCCTTCTTTCAGCCCTTCCCTTTACTGTCTGCAATCCAGATCGTATTCCTATTGCTTCAAAGGAAGGTTCAGAAAATAGAACAAGATACAAACTTTAAGCAGCGAGGGTCAGAGATAGAAGGAGGAAAGTGGAGACAGGGATTGGGGGGGAGTAAGGGGGGGCAGTGAATCATGTTTGTAATCCCAGTTACTCAGGAGGTTGAGATCTAAGGATTATCATGGAAGTCAGCCTGGGCAGGAAAGTCCATGAGACTCTTATCTCCAATTAATCTCCAAAAAACAGGAGGTGGAGCTGTGACTCAAAGTGGTACAGTGATAGTCTTGAGCAGAAAAAGTTCAGGGACAGCACCCAGGCCCTGAGTTCAAGCTGCACAACCAGAAAACAAACAAACAAACAACATTATGACCTTTTTGAACTCAGGGCCTCACGTGCTTCCTTAGCTTTTTCCCACACAGCTAGCACTTTACCATTTGAACCACTGTTCCACTTCCAGCTTTTGGTTAATTAAAAATAAGAGTCTCACTGTGTTTAAAACTATATTCTACAACTTGTGGGTAGGAACAGGAGGAAAAAACTGGGAGAAAGCTAGGGAAGGGGTGGCATTGTCCAAAAAGAAATGTATTCTTTACCTGACTTAGGTAACTGAAACCTCCCTGTACATCACCTTTATAATAACAAAACAAAATTAAAAAAACATCCAATCAGAAATATCCTACATTCACATTCAAAGTGGCAATAGTCACTTTCAATTTTAAATTGCTAATAGTAATTGATTCTTGTATACTGAATTCCTTAGTACAAAAGAGAGGTAAGATGTAGTAACAGCTACCGAGATGTTGATATTGTACAGATAAAATTGCAAACCGAGGTCTGGGAATGTGGCTTAGTGGTAGAGAGCTTGCCTAGCATGCATGAAGCCCTGGGTTTGATACCTCAGGACTACATGAACAGAAAAGGCTGGAAGTGGTGCTGTGGCTCAAGTGGTAGAGCACTTGCCTTGATCACAGAGAGGCTCAGGAACAGTGCCCAGACCCCAGGATTGGCAAAAAAAATTTCAAACTGGTTAACATTTGTTTCCTTCCTAAAGTATCACCCCACAGAAATCCATTTAACAAATTTCAAAGTACATGAAATGTACATGCAAAAATAAAATTGCTTAGTCAACAAAGAACTTCTTAACAGGGCCCGAGATTTCAAGGGCCCAAGATTTCAAGTATAATAGTTTCTTTGTCATAGTCATTTTGTTTCAAAGACTGGCATACAATCTTAAGAAAGAACTTCTTTGGTTAAATCCATGTAAACTCATGTCTGTAAAATCCAAGTTTTTTCAGTTGCCTTTGTGTATAAAATCTTATTACGTGTTAACATTGGATAATACAGTCAATGTGATTCATCGCTGAAGGCCATTGTGGATTGACAGAACTCTTGTGGCATAAAATATGTGACTAAATTTATCTTATTAGAAAAGAAGAATCTCTCAGATTTGTTTCCCCAGACTGACTTTGAATCTTAATCCTCAGATCACAGCCTCCTGAATAGCTAGGATTGTATATGTGAGCCACTAGCACTGGGTTTCTTTTATTTTCTTGGATACAGTGCCAGAAAGTTAGAAGAATTGGTGTATCTAGTTGAGAAAGTTTGTTGATGAACCACAATACACAAATAAACAAAGAAAAGAAACAAGCTAGGTGCCAGTGGTTTGCATCCGAATCTTAGTTACTCAGGAGGCTAAGAAATGAGGATCATGGTTCAAAGCCAGCCAGGGCAGAAAAGTGCCTGTGAGACTCTTATCCCCCATTAATCACAAAAACCAAAAGTGGAACCACAGCTCAAAATGGTAGAGCATTAGCCTTGAGCAAAAGAGCTCAGAACAGCACCTAGGCCCTGAGTTCAAGTCCCATGAAGAAGAAGAAGAAAAAGAAGAAGGAGAAGGAGAAAGAAGAGGAGGTAGAGGTTGGGGGGAAAGGAGGAGGAGGAGGGGGAGGAGGGGGAGGAGGGGGAGGGGGAGGGGGGAGAGGGGGAGGAG